TTTATGTCTAGACTACAGCCGTAGCCTATTGAACATTTTGTCATATGAAACTGATCTGTATTAATTTGTGTGTTGATAATATGTGTGATAAAAAATATGTTATGTCGTAATATTCTGCCATCATAAAATGTTTTATGTACATATTTTTCACTTCGATTATTTCTGATAAAAACTAGTTTTAGGTGTTTTGAGCATGTAGTTGCTTTGGTTAAAAGTTGAAAGACTTGTTGGAATGGGAATAATTGACACAATTCTTTTGACAATAAATGTTTATCTTTTTTAATAGTTGATATAAGTTAAAGAATACAACTAACTATTCTATGGATGTGATTATATATTCCATTTATTTGCAGAAATATCAATACCAGTACCGGGCTGCCGCCCATGAATGAAACTTGTAGGGACACTTTTTTACAAAACCGCTTGTTTCTCCAATGCTAAGAACATTATGAATGAATGTAACAAAAATAAGTTGGGTGTAAGGCAGAGATTGAAGAAATTGGTTCTGTTTCTTCAACATGCAATGCAACCTTTGTACTATATTTAAGCACGGTTGTGGGCTGTAAAACATATTCTTAGAAGTACTTTTTAGCAAACTGCAAAGTACCTAACTAACTTTAGGCATAGTATTCCATGATAAGCTTCAGCACTGTATTGATAACTGATGCTTAATATTCATTCATTACTAATGCATACAATACAGTTACTCATGTATAGGTATTACGATGTAATAAAAAGACAAACGTATGCCAACAATTTTAAACGATTTTAAAATAATAGTTTGTCTTCATAAAAAACGTTCCTAATACAATTGAGACTTATAGAAAGTTTCTCAATACTTAAATGGCCTGTCTCAGGTCTCTTTTGGCTCAAACACATAGAGAAAGGCAATTAATCAATCTAACGCATTCGTTATCGCTAAGGCTGAAATAGGCTTTCAAGCAAACTTTCTCAAAGTTTAATATACAGTTCGAGGGGAGACAAAAGAAAGAATTACTGACGTTAATGGAAAAGCACTTTATTCGTTGCGTGGCGTAATCATTGCTATTCATCCTAATAAGAAAGTCACAGCTTAATGAATGCCAACTTTGATTTGATTCAAACTTCTACATGCTCTTATCTATAAATGTCCAAAACATTTTACAGTAAAATCACGAAAACATAAACAAATATGAAAAAGCTATACAAAAACAAAATTGTTACTCTTTTGCTTGATTTGGGTGTAGATTTTAGAATAAGAGCTCCGTCCGAATTTTAACGGAGATCTGCTTAAAAAACACTATAGTAACTAGAAAACCCGTTCCCTTGAATAAACCTTGTCATATAACAATAGTATATTTCATCACTAGGGCTAAAGTGACTCTTCTACTGGCTCAAGTTCTACGATCGAGGCAAAGTCGATATCGGAAAATGAGCGAGGGTTGAAAAGACACGTTTCCTCTAAGTAATGAACTATATTTTTTCCTTATTGCACCATTATTTGAACAAAATATGTTACGAAACTAAAATTAATAGTGTTAAATTAAAGATGACCGCTCAAAGATACTACTAACTTGTTTTCAATTTAATTTGCTAATCTAAACAAGCAGCTGTTCGTCTCCTACGATTTTGTTAGTGTACATTATCCCATCGATATCTCAAACTATTAACAATGAGGTAAAAACTGACGACAATCGATTAAAAAATGTATAAATGAAAGTTTTTAGCCTATCGATTTTTAATCGATGGTTGCATTCGATTGTTTGGATCGAAATTTGCAACTGAGTTTACAGTTGATTTTATTCCCTAGAGGCTAAAAACGATTTCTACTCTCTACGATTTCTACTCCCTAGGGAATAAAAATACTACTTTAGACCGGCAACGCATGCGTTCAAAACGGCAGTTTTTGCTACAGTACGACGAAGAATATGTTCTTATTTCTTAAAACTAGGTGTTGCTAACAATTATTAAGTTGGTACATTAAAATGACTTTATTTACATCCATCCCCCTCATTTGATAGTTGTAGATTCAATTTTTTATATAATTTCACACAGTTATTGCACACCTTTATTTCTAAAAGACAACAATTTTAAAGAACGTCGATAAATAAAGCACTTCCTCTCTAAGATATAACTTTTCGCATGGAGACATCATCATAAGAAAATATCTTCATACGTTACACAATATTACATTAATATATAATATATATATATTTTATTTAAATGTATGATATTTTGTTTAACAATAAGGTAATGAAATACCCCCGCCGCAGCAAACCTGCAGACTAAGCGAATTTCCATACGTCTGATTGGATTTACACTAAAATGTCTACTTAAAAATTTTACATTTATTTCCTATTTAAATAGAATTATTTTAACAGGTACTTAGGTTTGCTGCATCAGGGAGGGTAAAACTTTTTTTTGTAAAATGTTAATAGTTAGTAAGAAATAAAAAAATTTTCCAAATTTGATCAAAATATGTTCATAAACAAGCAAACTACAACAGTTTACTCATTCTCCATAAGAATAACATGGGAATTTAAAATTTACATTTTTTTGGAATTTTCTCCGTAACCATTAGGCGCATAGTAACACTTCAATATACTAAATTATTTGTTTTTTTAAGCTCTACAAAATGGTTTGAAAAGATTTTGCAAAATTTGTTTTTTTTTTTGGTCAAAAATGGGAAAAACCTATTTTTACCCCATAAAACCCCCCGTAAACCCCCGTTCCCATAGTCCGATCATGCTGGTTCGCGAACTCGTTCGAGTTTATCCCGCCTTACACCTTCAAACAAAATTTTATCAAAATCGGACAAAAATTACTCAAGTTATCGTGCGGATGGACACATATATATCTATATATAGATATATAAAAATTTGAACGAATGGTGTTTTTGGCCTCTGGGGACATCAAAATGAAAAAGTAAATCGGTCCCGGGCCTAGGTCTTACCATGAGACCTACGGTAATAGCTACTTCCCTATAGGGAAATTCGCTAATAATGGATTTGCGTGTTCTAGGTAAATGTTACGCTAGTAGGCCTTTTGCCAACTGATAACCTTCGATGCAGGCAATGGAATACGAAAACGCCTAAAGGAATTATATAAAACAACTGATGAAACAGTAACTTATATCAATTTATATGTTCAGTATTTATATGTTTATGTGTTCTAAGTCATAAGAATGCATGGTTAATTTTTTATCTACCAAAGCAGTTAGTAAAAATACAAAATTGAAAGTTTACTAGGCTAATAAGGAAAAAGAAACTTTTGCATATTTTTCTAGATTCTGAGTTTGATTCAAAAAGGTAAATAGTTGAAAAATGCCTCACATGACCATCAATTTAGCTCTAGAATAAACAAAAGATGCGATTTAAAGCACATGTGTAAACAAACCCAAATGAATAAATTAAACATGATTTTACCGTTCAAGCAAAATAATTGAAATGCCAAAACCAATAACAAACTTAATCAATACTGATTATCATTGAAATTGCTCTACAGTTACTTCATGCTGTGCTTGTGTTGCAAGCTAAACATTGACCTGATTGAGGTGTTCTATGTACAAACGTAGAACAATGGCAGAAGTCAACACAATTAACTATCGGTAAACTATATTAAATAACAAAAGGCTACAAACCTATTATTCATTTGTTTGCATTGCATATCCTATATATATGTTTTATGTTTTTACAAATCAAGCAAACACTATTCTCTTAATACATTTTACTCAATTAATATGTATAAACTAATGATATATACATAGTATACATAAAAATCAATATAACTGTAAGTATAAGTGTTAACAAGTTTTTTTTTACAAATTAACACACAATTTATAAATACCCCAATTACAATTCTGTAATTATGTAATGTATTCAAGTTTACACCCTACAATTTTCCTTAATTTTGTCCAAGCAGATTTCAACGTTTAAGGTTGTATTTTTAAATTTACACATGTTCTTATAAAAAAAAAAATTATAAAGGTTATACTTTGAGAATTTCTAATTTTAAATTCCGTAAAAAACAAAAATATTAAATGTAACTTATTTAACATTAGTTACTTAAGCTACAGATAAATATCTTTGTTTAATTTATCTTAAAAAGAAAATAGATAAAAATAAGAAATGTTTTTCATTTATGACTTCCCTTAGTCATTCGGTTGCTAATTATATTAATCAATGATCATCATTAATTAATTGCAACCAGGTTTACCACAAACCAATAAACCGCTAATGAAGTAAATAAGGATGTGGTTTTAACTAAAATAAAAAAGGCCTATACTTTTCAAAGTTAAACTATTTTACCCACAATTGAAAAGTTACAACAATGTAAAAGTTGGGATACTACATATTTATTAAGAGTGTATATTTTTATTATACATATTTCTTAAACTTTGTCGTATCACTTATGTTATTTACATTCATATATTAAAGCGTTGATTATCTAGAGAAATTTTAAGCTTATCAACATAAGAATGTAAGAAATTAAATATAACGATACAAAATTGATTTCATGGACATATTTAAAGAACTGTGATCTCTATCCATATCTTGTATTTCTGCATATGCAAAACAGTTTTATTGATTATGCATTCGTCGTTCTGGATACTGTAAAAGCAATCACGCTATATGAGCTACACCAATAGGTCCACAAAACTTTAAAGCATTACTTTTTATTTATTCATTTCTTTGTTTGGAATTCCGTATATGTTACTTGATAAAGATAAATCAAGACTGGCTTTTAATATTTACTAATAGCTCTTATTCAATAATCTAATGTTTAAAGCCGTTTAAGCTTTGAAACGAATTTATATATATTGCAATGATAACTCATTCAAAACCTAAGTTAAAAAATATAATACACCACTCGCCTAAATAAGTGCTGTTGGTGAGGATCCATAACACTTTGAGTGGATCTACCATCACACTGACGAGGATCACATCACCGTCACACAAGTTCACCGTTACGCTAACGTTACGCGGGAGAGACACGGTCCAAACTGACGCTCCAGCGCTCACCACCGTCCAGCGAACACCCCCGACGCCACCCGAACATACACGAACACGTCCGAAGATCGCCGAGTCCACCCGAACGCAAGAACCCCCATTTCACCTGCCAGGGTAACCGCTGTCCCATTAGCCCGCGTTCCACAATGGTAGAATTAAGGAACTCTAATGTCTTTCGTCATTCCTAATTAAAATTTATTGTCCACAAGCGGCGCAGTCCATTAAGCCTTGCGGTAACTTGATTTAATACAATTACGCCGACCCTTGTAGCGTTCTAAGTTAGTTGTTTTGTTCTGGGCGTTTAACAGCTTTTAGGTAAATTTCTTTTATTCAAAGCCATTGGTAAAGGTAGTAAATTGTGTTCGAATATAATCAATGGAGATTCGGAAAGTGTTTCTTTTATTCTCCACTTTGTTTTTATAGCTAGGAAGACTTATAAGCTTTTCATTCAATACTTAATTATTTTAAGCACTTTAAGATTAAATTTGTACACAGTGATTGTTTTTGACAATTAAATTGGACTTATTTCTTACATAAAGTTTTTAAATATAACACAATGGGTTTGGTAGCTGAGTTTAATTGTATTGTATTTTTTGTATACACTATTAATTTATTGATGCTAAAATGTAAAAGAATATATTATATTTACATATTTTGGCTATAAATATTTTCATGTTTACAAAATAACACGATGATTTATACTTTGATAAATTATTCAAATACTGTGCATCGAATATAATACGAAAATAATTTAGATTGAATTCAGGATAACTCTTATTATACTTGTTATTAATCTGAAGATAATAGCCCCCCTCCCCCTTGGACTAGTAAAAGTACAATAATACTAGGCTGTGTTTTCCCGACCATTTATTTCTATCGAATTCGTATTACTTAAATTGTTATCCTCGGAATATTTATGACAAAATATAAATGAGACCAAAGAGTTTGTGAAATGTTGTATTTTCAATAAAGTAGATATTCAATTTCACTTTCTAGGTAGGCCTAATGCGTGTTTAAGAAACGGCTCAAGGAATTTATTTTACAAAATCTGGTTTATGTTAATTAAGTTATAATCGGTAGTGACCAAGCCACTTAAATGGTTGTTCGTCAGGCAACCAAGTGATTGAGAAAAAGGAATCACACAGAAAATCTAGAGTCAACGCGTGACTTACCTGCCATTTACTGGATAATAATTTGAATAACAATTCGAATTTCTTTGAACCGTATTTTTATATCACGATGTAGAAATACTCGTGTATTTAACTATGTTCTATCTATTAGTTGATAACAATGTAGCAAAACTACCATTAAAATGATGTTTTGTTGTATTTCAATATGACTATCCATTAAGTGATATCTAACTGCTGGATATACAATTTATTATAACGTCTTGTCATGTAGTTGCGAATGTCCTCCCTGTTATATGGTTTACAAATGTATTACTATAAAATGTTCTAAGAAATATCGTACCAAAACGCACTAAAGAATGGTATAAATTTGAATTTTAAAATTTAAACTATGACACATAATTTAACTCAGCATTGTGTTTTGAGCCAATATAATAATTATTGGATATGAAATGTGACGTACAAATTAAATACGTAATGGGTAAACATTTTAAAACGTATGCGTGCAAATGAAATAGCACAACAATATCTCCTAATAGTTTTTTTGCCTTTCCCAACTTTAATAAAAAAGGAACGATCGTACTTATCATTATTCTTAAATAGTTTTATTCCTAATCTTATGGTGAATAATAAATAGTAAACCGTATGTGACTCTTAAAAATTGCTATATAGTATAAAGATGGGATTTCCTGGAACTTACATATTTAGAATTGGACAATAAACAAACCAAATCCGACAAGGAATGTAAGTTAGAAACATATATGCCATATCTGACGTTTTTCCTGTTCGACGAAGAAATTTCAAGGAATGCGATTTGAAACACAAGGTTTGCATTCGATAAATACCTTACACATCATAAAAACGCCTGAATTTCATTTGGCGGACGTCGCCACGATCTGAGCAATCAAATTGATCGTCGTGCTTCTTTTTCGCCGAGGGTTGTTTGTATGGAAATTTCATGAAACTGTCGCTGCCTCAGGGACAATATTTACATTTACAAGCTGAATCTCCCATTGTAAATGTTTATTCAAACAGTTCTGTTATATTTTAGTACAATTGTTCGATTCGACCTATTGTGTGAAAAAACTTTATATTTGTTTATTACCGTTGCCAAATATCAATCTGTGAACAACACGATTGATATATACTTGAAACATTTTAGAAATATTAAATTTCAGTACTAAAAATTATGAAGATACAAAGAATTTGAGTACATCTAGAAATAAGTCAAACTGCTGTGTACGATGACAAACATAGGCATGTGAGTAATGGCATGTAGAAAACTTGGCGCAGGTGTTAACATAAGTACGGTAATCTCCACACAACTCGAGTAAAACTGTTGTCTTTAATTGCCAAATAAGCATACTCATTAAAGTGGTTGTAACATCTGTAACAGAAATGATAAAATTATATTGTTTGAAAATAAACCTGTATTTAATTGTTACAGTTGTTTTTTTTTTACTTTTAAAATTAAAAGTTATTTCTGCTTATGATTATTCATGATAGAGGTAACCTTTAAATTATATCCTGCTGAATTATAAGCGTCATTGAAATAATGAAGTATTCTATTTTTAAGCTATGATACCACCAAATCAAGGGATTTTAAATATGATAACAGTTCTGAACACAGACATATGCAAAAGCAAAAACAAAAAATACAAATTATTACTAGTACTACAGCACGCTAGTTCATACTAAAGTTAAAAAAAGGAATTTTGGTTCTGCTTTTAATGCAATTTCTCGTCATCTGTTTTTGGTCGATGTTACAACAGTGACGTAAAGAATCATTTGATTTTTTTATTTACGTATCAGGTTATAGGCTGTTAGAATTTCAAAGTAAAATTTGTGTTTATTTTGTGATTATGGATTCGTATTCAGGTAATTATATGCGACAGCACAAACAAAGTGATAATTTAAAATAGAGCTATTTTGAATTTCTCCACCCAAAAACACATTGAATGTCCAACTTTATACTTTACTGTAAAAACCTCCATTGAAACACAAAACAAAGCATTGAAGAATTACATTTATGTTTGTAGAAAGTATATTATCAATTGAGCGTAGACACGGCGACATCTCTGTGGTGATTTATGATCCCTTGACTCATGACGTGGTTGACCTTCTTATTAAACTAACATTGTGTGATAACAAAACCTTTGTTTATACTTTACGATGTTTGACATAGCTAAGAAATATTGTATCTTCTAGCTATACCTGTGGGGACACTTATCATAGCAATACTGGGTTTGATGTAATTAATCTCCTCATCTCAATTTCTATATTTTCAATTCCAAAGTCATAACAATACTACATTAGTAGTGCTAATTTCTACCGTACCGCATGTTTTAATATTTGCTCAATATTAATTCTTTAGCATCAAATTGATTATGTCAAACATATTTTCTCACACGTAACCTCTTTAAATATTGGCAAACAATTAAACTTGTACTGGTGAAATTAATGAGTGTAGTTAATATTTCATCGTATTTACTGCAATTAAAATGCAACAAATAGTGAGCTGCTAACTATCTTAAACAAGTTTTATAGTTTTCTTTTATGAGGTGCAGTTTTATATGGTACTACTTAATTTTGGCACAGCATTTTCTTAGTTTCCTTTTTGTTGTTAGCTTGTTTTAGAAGTGAGTTAAATAACTATTAATTGTATAACTACATTACCTTTTTTAAACAATTATTAAAATGATTTGAAGACAATATTATTAGTAAAACATACAAAAATTTCGATTTTATAACCACCAAAATATCTAGCTAAGTTTCGACATTCTGTATTAGCTTGTTCCGTAGTTTATACTAATTGACCACTTGTCACTTCAGGGCTTCATGGTACAAGACAACTCTTGCCACTCGCCACAGTTGTGGCGTAAACTAAGCCGACCACTATATGGTAACAAACTTTAAATGATTACTTTTGGAATTCAGTCCAACGGATTGAATGCATGTAAATTTACAAACCTAATTTTTATATTTGACTTAAAACGTTCAAATGTTTTTAAAGAATAAAACTAATTATAATATTAGATTTTGAAGTAAGAGTTTAAGGATTTTTCTATATGATTAGTTTACGAGTTTATTATGCAATATACCAGTAAACTAGCAACAGTATTGGAAATTACCTATTATACGTAAAACTGCAAAATTAACACAAATTCTCTAAAAAAAGTAGTATAGTAACAAACTCGATAGCATGGATTGCATATGCATTGTATTCGAGTCAGTTAATATAGTGTGTATACTGCGCAGGGACTCTGACATATTCATTTGTCTTTTTTTTCTTTTAAGCTTTTGACATTTTGTCTTAATATGTTGGGTCATAGATGATCTTGACTAATATAGTATACTAACCTATGGAAAACACAACTACCAATCCTGATGGTAGCTAATCCTGCTGGTAGCCAATTCTGATGGTAGCCAACCCTGTTGGTAGCCAATCCTGCCGGTAGCAAATCCTGCTGGTAGACAATTCTGCTGGTAGACAATCCTGATAGTAGCCAATGCTACTGATATCCAATCCTGCTCGTAGCCAATTCTGCTCCTAGTAACCCTGCCTGATAGCCAATCCTGCTGGTAGAAAATTCAGCTGGAAGCCAATCCTGCTGGTAGCAAATCCTACTGGTAGCCAACCGTGATGGTAGCCAATTCTGCTGGTAGCAAATCCTGCTGGTAGCCAATTCTGCTGGTAGCAAATCCTACTGGTAGCCAATCTTAATGGTAGCCAATCCTGCTGGTAGCAAATCCTGCTGGTAGCTTACCCTGCCTGGTGGCCAATCCTGCTGGTAGAAAATTCAGCTGGAAGCCAATTCTGCTGGTAGCAAATCCTACTGGTAGCCAATCCTGATGGTAGCCAATTCTGCTGGTAGCCAACCCTGCTGGTAGCCAATCCTGCTGAGAGTTGTATGTAGCTACAATTCTTAAGTTACATACCGACAAGATGTTGAAGATTTGCTTGTTAAAGCATAATCCATCCTATAAAGGTTGAGAATGAAAA